CTTAACGATGAAATAATTAACCACAGTTCTATACAATATGGTCATAGCTATCAAATTAATTGATCATATAGATCCGTGACCTGTCTGTATTAATTTGTGAATTTTATAGGTCACAAATTATTTCTCGATCACGAATCGAAAATTTATAAGTCATCGATTATTTTGAGGTTCCAAATCAATAATTTTATAGGTCACAGATTATTTTATTGGTCACGGATCACAAAATCAACATTTTTCTGGGTCACAAATCAAAAATTTTACAGGTCACAGATTAATTTTTCGATACAACTTAATTAACTGTGAATCACCGTTCGAATTTTAAAGGTCTCAGTTAACTAATTGGTCACAAATGACCAAATAGTTGGTCACAGGTCAACTACTGGGTCACATACCAACATCATCTCCAATGTCTCCACCTCCACTTGCGACCACCATCACACGATGGCCGACGACGCCACCACCAACAACCACCACTACCGTCACCAAAAACCATCACCACCAAACATCACCGCCACCGCCCCTGCCACTGCCACCACAACCACCAAACGCACAGCCGCCACTGCATCCAACACCAACATCACCACCGTTGTCGCCAGAACCAACAACACCACCACCTTGCCGCCGCAGCCAATATCACAAACCACTACCAACAAAACACCAAAAACCACCACCGAAACCATCGCCATCTAACCATCAACACCACAAAAACCATCACAACAACCGCCAACAGATACCACCACCACCTAACCCCCCTCCCCCCAAAAAAAAAAGACGTCATCACAACCTCACCATCGCAGCCAACTCTAACCTCATCAACAGAAACAAAAACCAAAAAGTCTGCACCACCTCATTGCCGCCGCCACCGCCGACCACTGTGCAGTAGATTGCATAAAAACAAAAAAATTATAGATTCTGGCAGATCGACCACCACATATTCGACGCTGCAAGCGATGCTTGGAGGCGTCGCAGTGAGCGCCAACACCGCTTATAGCCACGAGCTCCGCTGTGGTCTTTGTCGGCGACAGCCACGTGCGACGAAAATCGGAGATGATAGAGAAAGAGCGAGAGAGAGGAGGCGGGAAGAGAGAGAAAGAGGGAGATGAGAGTCGGTAAATGATTTTTAGGGTTCGTGATGAAATTAGTATATATAATATATAATATTTAAATATTAAATATCTGA